AATCAAGTCAAAAAGCTTTCCGGTCCTTCATGCTACTTCTCCTGGCTGCTTTATTCTGCTCTTTATTTCTAAACCCCTCCCTCCACACCTCCCCAAGTTTGTGTTACTTAAGACTAATCCTTTCCTTGATAGACCCTGTTTCTTATTCTCTGTTTTGCTTTCTACCCTTTCCCTGTCTCCCAGTTGAATTCAAGTGAAAGTGACATGTAAGTGTCACCCACTTCACCCCATTCCTAACTCCTTGCTTACAGAATTCTATTTGTATACCCAATTATATGAAATTATTTTTGCCATCTTTTCTCTCCCTTTACCGCACCGCCCCCTCCCAGTATCTTCCTTTTTCCCTCTCTTTCCATACTTTTCTTAAGATTGTGAACACATTATACACAACTACTCCCAGGCCCTGTAATTAAACTTCCTCTCCGATAACTTCTATCACAATCTCCTTGACAGGCTATGTGTAAAAACTCCACATATTAGAATGTGAACAGCTCATCCTCATTTAGTCCCTTATGATTGCTTATTCATGTTTATCTTCCTATATTTCTTTTCACTCCTGTGTTTGCATTTCAAAGTTTCCATACATTTCTGGTTTTATCATCAGAAATGTCTGGAAGCCCCCCTACCTCATTAAAGATTCATTTTCCTCTCCTGGAGGATTATACTTAGTTTCTCTGGGTAAGTTATTCTTGACTGTAAGCCTATATATTTTAACTTCTGGAATATGATATTCTAAGATTCCCCAGGGGTGGGGAACCTTTGGCCCTGAGGCCACATGTGGCCTTTTAGGTCCTTAAGTGTGGCCCTTTGACTGAATCCAAACTTCACAGAACAAATCCCCTAAATAGAAGGATTTGTTCTGTAAAACTTCCCCACCCCTGGCTAAAACCTCTGCTGCTTAATAGTGTGATCCTGACTGTGGCTTCTCAGTTTGTGAATTCTCTTTCTGACTGCTTGCAGTATTTTTCCTTTAACCTGGAAGCACTCTGAATTTTGCCTTTAATATTTCTGGAAGTTTTCATTTTGGGGTTTCTTTCAGGAGGAGACTGGTCAATTCTTTCTATTTCTACTTTACCTTCTGGTTCTAAGAGATCTGGAAAGTCTTATTATTCCTTGAAATCTAAATTTCTTTTTTTCTCCTTGATAAGTAAGCTCTTTTTTTGGTCACAGCTTTCACATAATCCAGTGATTTTTAAATGATTTCTTCCTTTCTCTTTTCCAGGTCAGTTGTTTTTGCTATGAGATACCTTCCATTTTCTTCTACTTTATTTTTTCAGTCTTTTTTTTTTACTTTCTTTTAGTATTTCTTGGTGTCTCATGGAGTCATTGGCTTCTATTTGATCCATTCTAATTTTCAGGGAGTTTGTTTTTTGGGCAAGGTTTTGTACCTCTTGTTCCAAGCTGTTGATGCTCTTTCCAAATCTTCCATATCTCTAATTTATTTTCTCATTTTTTCCTCCTCATTTTCCTCATTTCCTTCATTCATTTCATTTTAAAAATAATTTTAGGCTTGTAAAAAAAAACAATTCTTGTTTTACCTCTTTAAGGAATTATTAGTAGATTTGTGACCAAACTGTGTTTTTCTGAGGCTTTGCTTGTAGATGTTTCGAAGTCATTCTTTTCTTCTGAGTTTGTGTCTAGAACATCCCCATCAAAATAATACTCTTTTTTGTTTGTTTGTTCATTCTTTCAGACCACTTCCTAACTTCAGACTTTATGTTAAGGCTTATTTTAGAGAAGGGCTCAGCGAGAAGAATGTCTGAACTCGGCTTTTGTCATCTTAGTCCTTCTGCTGCTTTCTTGGAATATTGAGTGTTATGTTATTTCAGTATCTCAAGAACAATTCAGGCTGGGAATCTGAAAGGTTTCAATGCTCCCAAAGTGGTCTGATCCAGGGTGAAGTCTGATCACCCCTCCTGGTCTGAGCTCTGCCAGTTCCTGACCTGGATTTGGATCTGAGCAATAGACCTTGCCATTGGTGGTTTCAGTAGATGACTATGGGGCTCAGCTGGAAAGCTCTGCAGGTTCAGTATGACAGAACTGTAGAATCCCCTTTATTCTGGGATTCCTACTCTGACTAGTCCCCTGCAGGCTTCAAATAGGCTGGAGGCAGGAAATGAGATTCTGCTTAGCTCCTGGGGTCAGAGCCACTCAGCTATGCTTGCTCCTATACTTGCTTATAGCTCATTACACAGCCTGGACCAGTGACTACTTCTCAGCATTAGATTGTCAGCTCCTTGTGCCACGGATGGTCTTTTTCCTTTCTTTTTGTCTCCAGTGCTTGGCACAGTGCCTGGCACACAGTAGGTGCTTAATAAATGCTTATTGACTAAATTGCTCTGGAAACCACTTCTAGGTGCAGGTCTCTCCTGATCTAGATCTTTTATTTGGAATTGGGTAATAAATGATAGAACTGCTAGTTGGCGCCCGTTCCTGCAACCTGCACAAAGTCAAGGACCTCTTCTTGCCCTACTGCACAGCCTTGGTCCTTTTTTATTTGCCATGTGCCAGAATGCTCTATCCCTGACTTCATCCCTATACCCAGCAACACATAAATATTACGTTCTTTCTGTTTTTCTGAATTTCTTAATGAGAATGTGGTCTGGTGCATTTTGTAGATCTTTGTGAAGGAGGTGTTGGGGAACTAAGCTATATGGGCAGTTTTAAGATTTCTTGAAACTTGATGTCTAGAGTTTTTGGGTTTTTTTTGGGGGGGAGGTCATAGTGTTCATGTAGCCCAATGTTTCTAAAATTAGGTTCTCTTCCATCTGTTTTCCAAGTTAGTTGAGATACCTTATATCTCCTATCTTCCCAGTCTTTTGACTTTGTTTTAATATTTCTTGTTGCCTCAGTTATTGACTTCCATTTGGTTCATTCCATTTTCGGGAAGTTTGTTGCTTGAGCAAGGTTTGTTTTTTTTTTTTTTTTACCTCTTGTGCCAAGCTGTTAATTCCCTTTCCAGTTCTTCCATAACTCTCATTTCTTTTCCATTTTCTCCCTCTAGTCCTCTCATTTCATTTATAAAAAAATTTTTGGAACTCTTTTAAAAAACTCTTGGTTCCATCTCTTCCAGGAATTCTGGTTTGTGGCCAAGCTATGTTTTTCTTTCAGGTTTTGCTTCTAGATGGCTTGCAGTTATTCTCTTCTGGATTTTTTGTTTTGAGCATACCTGTCACCATAATACCTTTTTATGGAGGGATTTTTTTCTTGTTCATTCTTCTAGACTACTTCTTCTGTACTGTACATATTAGGTTTAGTTCTTGCATACTTCTGAAGGCAAGGTCTGAGCTGATCTCATTGCTGCCTTCTTGGAGTACTGAACATTGTGTTATTCTAGGATCTCAGAGAAAACTTTTGGTGTTCCCAAAGTGGTCTGATTCAGGACAAAGTCTGTTCACTGCCCTTCTGGTCTAAGCTCTATAAATTCATGACCTGGCTTTGAGTCTGAGCAATGGTAGACTGCTGCTAGACTTGACCACCATCAGTCAACTAGGAAACTTTGCTGCTTCTGAGGAACAGAATTATAGGCTCCCTTTTGACCTGTGATTTCTCTTTTCTTTTCTTTCTTTTTTTTCTGCTAGGCAATGGGGTTAAGTGACTTGCCCATGGTCACACAGCTAGCAGGTGTCAAGTATCTGAGGCCGGATTTGAACTCAGGTCCTCCTAACTGCAGGGCTAGTGTTCTATCTACTGTGCCACCTAGCTGTCCCATTGGTCTGTGATTTCTGCCCTGGTTACTCCTCTGCTGGCTTCAGATTGGCTCTGCTCCTGGGGTTAGTCACAACTGCTGCTGCTTGGTTCTGGACTTGTTCCTCTCAGCCTAGCGCCTGTAGCTGCTCCATATCACAGAATGCCACCCCAAGATACAAGGCCTATTAAACAGAATGCTTTGGATTTGTGACCCAGAACTGGGTAATGACAGACAAAGGTGCTAGTTGGCACCTGTTCTCTGAACCCTGTGGTGCCTCAGGATATGTCCAAGACCTCCTCTCATTCTGGTGCACAGCCTCTCTGTGTGTGCTGGAGTTCTCACAGCTGCTAGTGGCTCTACCTGTCCCCAGTGTCCATAGTTCTGTCTCCCTATGCTGAAAAATGACTCATTATGACTTTTTCTAGGATTTCTCCATTAGGGTTTGATCTGGTGCATTTTCTAGATCTGTTTGGAGGAGTTTTCTGGGGTGGGGCAGCTTGCTGAATTGATCCCTGTTACTCTGACATCTTGGCTTCACCTCCCTCAATTCCTGTTCATTTATGGAATGGATCAGATGTCCTGAGGTCTCTTCAATTTTGAGATTCTGTGATTCAGAAGTCAAAAGTGTCTATGAATGCTTTCCAGAGGCTTTTCACACATGTATTCTTTATCCTGTAGTAAATGCAAAGAGGTTGCTGGACAGAAGGCAACAGCACTTTTCAGGTACCTTATTCATACAATACCAAATTCAAGTAGGATGGTAATCAACATGTAATAAATAAAGTAACAGTTTTTGTTTATTTATTTTATTTTTTTTAATGAGGCAATTGGGGTTAAGTGACTTGCCCAGAGTCACACAGCTAGTGAGCGTTATGTGTCTAAGGCCAAATTTGAACTCGGGTCCTCCTAACTTCAGGGCCAGTGCTTTATCCACTGCGCCACCTAGCTGCCCCATAAGGTAACAGTTATTAACCACAGGGACCAGTTTTTCTTTTATTCTCTTTATTACACTGTGAATGATTGTAGCTAAGTTGTTTTTTTTTTGTAATGTCAATTTCTCCTTTTATTCTTATGTTAGATGGCTGGAAAGAAATATGAAACCATCAATGAATCAAAAATCGGTTACTGAAGAGCTGTTAGTATTTGGCCCTATTGAATCAGTCACTACTGTGGGACAACATAGTGCTCTAATTATATATGAGAACATTATTTCGGCTTGTAGAGCAGTGTCTGCTTTTCCTGCTGATATTCCAAGCGCAAGACTACAGTGTTATTGGTACCATAAATTCATGGCGAAAAATAAGAAATATATATAATTACAGAAAACAGCTTTACTGAAGCTCTAAAGATCATTTAACATAATTATGTGGGTCCACAGTGAATTATAGTTATCAATAATGGCAAAAGGCACCCTGGTTTTAGCCCATGTATGTTAAACAAGAGAAAATTAATTATGGATTCAAAAATGTTTCATCTTCATTTTCAAAACCATCAGAGTTTTGACTTTCTATTTATGAAGTTTACAATGGCATTTATGGAGTCATCAGAGCACAATCTTTCAGAAATTAAAGCACATTCTTCAAAATTAACTCTGTGCAGTGTCTCTTTTTCAAAACCTCGAATCAACTGTTTTGAAGCCATCACAGTCTGTAGAAAAATGAAGGTAAAAGGATTATAAATACAAGATTATTCCATCCTTCACTCATTCATTCAGAAAAAAAATTACTTGTTGAGTACCCATTATGTTGCAAGGTCCACGCCAGGAAGGGTATAAAGAAATACCAGGTATGGTCTGTGCCCTCAAGGACCTTGTGATCTAATTAGGGAAATCACACACACACACACACACACACACACACACACACACACACACACAC